AGCTCTGGGAAGGAGGGAAGGGGGGGGGGGGGCTGCAACCAGCTTGGAGAAGGGACCTAGGCCTACGGCCAGGTCGTGGACACCTGGGCTTCATATGCAACCCGTCCCTGTGGCCTCCAATCATACCGGAACCTTTCCTGAGCCCTTCAGCGGGAAGGTCCTGAGGTTCCGGGGAGGCCAAGAGCTGGAAGGACGCCCTGAGTCTGCAGGCTGAGCCCCAGGGTGCCTGGCCCCCAAGGGGTCTTGCTGGGCCAGCATGCAGGTACCCTCCCCATTCTCACCTCTCTTGCTGCCTCCTCTCCCTGACACAGGTCAGCTTCTGTGCTCCCAAGAAGGCTGAAAGGAGATCTCTTTCCACAGCACAGAAACTGCAAGATGGGAGGGAGGGCTGGCACTTTGTTCTTAAAACCCCAGGAGGCAGGCAGGAGAGATGGGGAAACTGAGGCACCACTCGGACAAGTGAGCTATGTCGGGTCCCACAGAACTGGAGACCCCTGGAGGCCAGGGCTGGCACTCAGGGCGCTGCAACTACATCTGCTGTGGGCCCTGGCAATGGGCAGCTGGGCCCCGGGGAGAGGGGCAGCCCTGTGACTTTGTGTGTGGCCTTCACCTGGTGGGTCCTCTACAAAGCCGTGTTGCTTGCCAGCCTGCTTGGAAGAAAGACTGAGCACCCACCATGGCCAGTCCTCGGACTGCACCCCACTCAGTCCCCGGAAGCCCTGCTCAGAAGGACTCTGCTTACTTTAATGTTCTGTCATTGCCGTCCTGAAATTCTTCATCATTTTGGACAAGAAGCCAGCCTTTTCATTTTGTACTGGGCTCTGAAATTTGGAAGCTGGCCTTGTCTGGGGCAGGGAAGAAGGATGGGAGTTCCTTGTTCCTCTACCTCTGAGGGGACACCCATTGTCTGCACCTGGCCCAGGCCGGCTGACTCTGGGGAGCCACCCTGTGCCCATCTTCTGGTTCACAGTCCACACAGGTTGGCCACCCGCTGCCCCACTGCCAACGAAGGAAAGCCCATTCCCCCACACTCACTGTGTCCTGGATGGCTGCCAGCTCCTGCCGCCGGACAGCAGACATGCTATTCATCGCCTGGTCATACACCAGATCGTAGGTGTCCAACACGGCGTTCTCCACCTGAACCAAGGGCATCATGGGAAGCCCTAGCCCCTGCTGGGTGCCCCATGGAGCCCCCTCCCCACACCAAGTTCCTAAGGTGGGAGGTCTGGAGTGTGTAGAATGATGTTCTGGTGGTACCCCCTCCTCCTTGTTCCAGGTGTATCTTCCACCAAAGGCAAAGCTGGGGGTCACCTGGGCAGAGTGACAGTGGGTTCCCCAGACTTGGCTTGTGGGACCTCTCCTCAGTGATGGCAGTCAGTATGGCCCTCCTCCCCTGTTACGCCTTGCGAAATAAAACAGACTAGGGCACCCGCTCCATCTGTGGTCTTGCAGTACGTGGAAGGAGCCGCCTAGCCTGCTTTTGTTGATCTGGAAATAGGTGGTAGGGCTGGACCCAGGGAGGAATCTAGGGAAGAAGTCTTGAGCTAGGACCTTAGCTCCCTCAAAGATGTGTCCAGGTCTCCCCTGCAATGTCCCGGCTGTGTTCCCCAATGTCTGGGGAGCTGGACTCTGGAGAAGACCTTGGCCAGGGAAGCAGTGGGCATCTGGCATCGTTTCTAGGCAGATGAGATCACTGACAGGCAGAAGATGGTGGAGGACGACCGTAGCAGGGGCTTGGCCAGGTTCTGACTTCACGCCATACCCAGACATCACCAAGACCTCATTGCTCTGCTTTCTGAATCACCCCTCTTCCATGCTTTTGATCATTCTACCCCCAAATCAAAATGCCCCCAGCTCCTTGCCGAGTTAGTGGTTCACTGAAATCTCACCTCCTCCAGGAAAGTTTTCCTGTCTGCTCCAGGGGTCACTCAACTCCTAGCACAGAGGGAGGCCCTCTTTGGGATCCCCGGTCCTCTGATACCTCCTTCCTGCCTCAGAGATGGAGTCCTTCCTTCTCCCCCTTCTCCCTATCCCAGGCCATCCTGACACCTGGAGCACACCGAAGGCTCAGGGGTAAATGGAGAACCCATGCCTGCTTTAGCTCCTCCCACTTGCCCTTCAGAAAGGAAGGATAATTACTCTGTGACACCCCCCCACCCCCAGCTCCTGTGGCAGGCCCTGCCAGCAGCCTGGAGGATTGGATGGGCAAAAAGTCTTCGAAGACTGTAGGCCAGTGTCCAAATGTGGATGTCCTGGTAGGAGCCAGATGGACTTTCCACGCCAAGCACTACTCTTGGCATCACTTTTTAAAATACAATAATTTTTTATTTAACTTTATTTATTTATCTATATATTTACTTTAATTTGATTAGAGACAGACAGACAGAGAGAGAGAGAGGGAGAGAGAGAAAGGAAGAAGGCAAGCCGCTAGGTCCGGCGCTTGAACTGTGGTCCGCCATATGGGAATCTAGTGCTCTTAACCACCACACCACCTGCTGGCCCCTCCTGGCATAAATTAATCCGTCTGCATTGATGGATATGAAAAGTCAGACATCCCCCCATGAGTCATCCCAAACATCCTGCCAGCCTTTATCCTCTCCTCTCACTGGGAGGTAGGCAGCACCCTTGAGAAGCAGGCGCCAAGCCGCCTATGGCCATGGCAGGCCTGGGCCAGGAGCTCTCTCTTAGTTTCATTTTCTCTGAGTATAAAATGAGGTTGAGTCTTGCCAAACCACAGTGTCCTTGTGGGAGGAGAGGCTGTCATTAGAGAGCATGTTTCTCAGATTCCTTCACAGACGGAGGCCTGGTGTCCAGGAAGTCCTCCAGGGCTCATCCCAAGATCACCTCTGGATGTCTAACTGGGCTTGGTGATCTGCACTCTCACCCCCACCCCTGCCCCACCCATTGTCTGACAAACCGTAGGCTCAGGTTGGCACAGATGGGGAGGGGCCCTGTGGAGAGCTCAGGTTGGCAGGTGGGATGGGGACCAGCCCCACACCCAGCTCTGGCCTGAGCCCACACGGTGGTGAAGAAATTCAGGGAGGGGAGAGGCCTGAGGAGCGGGGCCCAGACTATGGGAGCTGTGTGGACACGCCTCGTTCTAGCACTGCTCCTGCGCTGCTGTACTTACTCCCAGCATGAATTATTAAGGGGAGCCAGCAAGCCATTTCCCCACAGGCTCTCCTGGAGAGAGGGGGAGAGTTGTGGCGAAGTGGCTTTCAGGCCGCAGTGAGAACGTAATTAATAGCCTCCTGCTCTGTATTCATCCCACGGCAGCCTGGTCCTCACATCACTGCCTGCGGGTTCCTGCCAAGGCCTGAGCATCCAGAGAAGTGGCAGCTGGGGAACCTCGCGAGCAGGGGCTCGCTGGGGGGCCGGGGCAGGAAGGTACCCTGGGCTAGGGTCTGTGTCCATCGAGTGGGGGAGGGCATCCAAAGGAACATGGCTGTCCCCTTTCCTCTTCCACACTCAGGCTTTCTATGTGAAGGGTTGAGCCATTGTTTCAGCCTGTCTTAGAGCTTCTGTGGGGAGGGGAGGAAAAGAGTGGATGGGCCTGGGTGTGCTCTAGGCCCGCAGACCCTAGCCTCCTGTGTTTTTCAGTGCAGACAGCTTGGCCTTTTGGCCCTGAGCCACTGGCTGGACCTTGTTGAAAAGGAGCCTGGGGCTGAAACCTGGCTCAGGCCAGCCTGATGGTTGAGTGCCAGCCTGCATTCCCAGAGGGGCAGGGGACAGGGTGCTGGCCTGGCGTCCTGCTCTGGGCTCATGCCCTGGCACAGCCTCATCTAAGCTCAGGACAGCTCTAAACTAGTCCCATGTCATGGAGGGCTGACCTGGGGTAAGGGTGTACAGTGTGCAGGTGGGTCCGACTGACCCCTCCACCCGCTGGCTCATCCCACTGTGAAGCAGCCCCCAGGAGCAGGGAGCTCAATGCTCCTTTCACAGATGAGAAAACCGAAGCCCAAGAAGGTTCAGTGACTTGTCCAAGAGCACCCCAAGGATCCCTGACTTCAAATCTGGAGATCCTTTGCCCAGGCCACCTCCACGTCCAAAAGACCTAGACAAACACACACACACACACACACACACACACACACACACTATAGGGAAAGGCAGATGGGGCCACCGGGCCAAGGCCCCAGGAGGAAGCCCCAGTTCCCCATTTTGGGTCAGGCAGCATCCTGAGAACTGGCCCTGGGGCCAGATGAGGATGATTTGTGTGGGGGGTGGTGTGTGAGGCTGGGGCAGGATCAGAGGAGGCTCGGCTGGGAGCCGTCCGCCCCTCTTCCTTCCTCTTTCCTCCCCTTCCCTTCTCCGAGAGCAGGCCCCAGCTGGATTCTGTCCTGTGGCCCCTGAACGGCCCCCTCCCCATCAGAACTATGAATCCCACTCTGAATTATAAACACAGAGAGCTGCAGAGCACGGAGGTTGGGCTGTAGCCCCCCAGGCGAGGCCCAGGGTGCCCTGGCAGCTGTCTTGACTGCGGCCACCCACACTGCAACCCAGACCTCGAATGGGCCAGACCACCCCTCAGTGGACAGGAAATGTGAGGCTGCAATGCCGGCCGGACTGTGGGCTGACTCCCCCCTAAACTACAGCTGTCTTGCAGGGGCTTGACCCCTTCTAAGATCCTTTTGGGCCAGACGAGTTGTTTTTCCCATCTAGCCTGGGTGGGTGACCCACAGGATATAGAGGTGGGTGGGCACTTTGTGGCAGCCTCTGGCAGGAAGGGGAGAAGAGGCATCAACTCCAGGCAAGGATTCCTTGTTGGGGAGCCTGGAGCCCCTTCCAGCCCTGGTACTGTCAGGGTGACCTCAAGTTCTCCCCAAGCCCATGTTTAAACCAAAGGGAAGACCACCACCCCTGGAGGCCTGGAGCACAGCTGCTTGGTGTCTGTGAACAGCGCACAGGGTGAGCTCAGCCGGGAGATCCAGGCCCTGGCTGTTGCAAGCCTGTGTCTTGCATGGCCAGCCCTATGCTGGCGCAGCGGTGGGGAGGAGGCAGTATGGACAACCAGACTCCTGAATAAACGGGACGCCTTGGTCTCTGAGAAATCATCCCACGTTACTGGCCCAGGCTCTCTGCCCTCTCTGCCCTCTGTCCTCACAGCTTTACAGGCTGCCCCGGGGGGGTCTCACCTGATCTGAGCTTTCAAAGGAGAAGGGTAGGGCCTGAGTTCTGCAACCAGGGCCTCACCCCTGCTGGGGCAAGGAGGAGGCCTTCCCTCCTCTCCAAGATGCTGGCCTTCAACGAGGGTACTCTTGGACCTTGCCAGGAGGCATCTGGGTCCACTGCCATCACAACTGTCCTGTGTATGAGGTCAGGACGCCTCACCTACTATGTCCTCCAGGTCCCTGCCTGACACTGCACCATCCTGGCTCCGGCAGGCCTGTCGGGAGTGAGTCCTGCACTTCTTTGGGATACTCTGCTCCCATAAGTTGATCTCTTGGGCCAAGTTGCTGCCTGCCACCACCCTCCTCATTCCCTCCTCCGGCTGCCCCGATGCATCTTCCAGGGTTCAGGAGGGGTGGACTGGGGATCCTGAGAGAAAAGAGGGGGAGCTGGGCACAGTCCAGGTCTTCCCCTCTTTCCCAGGGAACTCCTGCCCCTAGTCCCAAAGGGGATCCCTCACCCACCACCCAGATCTCTGGCTTTCTGCATCGTCATCCCCCCCTACCCCACACACCCAGGTAGAGAATGTCCTCGTGTCATGGTTTCCCCCGTCCCACGCAGTCAGCATCAACGTGGAACCGAGCACCTTCCCAGCACCCACCTCCCAACTGGCCTGCCCTGTCCCTGCCCTTGGGGACCTCTGCTCAGAATGGGGGCAGTGGGCACTCACCTGGGTGGGGTTGCGGAACCTCCAGAAGGCCACCTGAAGCAAGGTGCAGAATGCCAGGGTGAAGCACAGGAAGCCCTAGGGACAGAAGGAGGCTGTTATTGCACATAGCTGGCAGCACCCCGTGAGCCCAGGGACTCTGCCTTACGCCTCATCCCAAAGTCCCCAGCAGAAGTAGAGGCCTGAGGCAGAGGTGTGGGCTTGAGCCTGGCTCCCTGCTCCTGAGGGGGAACCTTGGGTGGCGAGGACACTGGTTCTGTGGCTCCTTTCCCACCGCTTCCTCTGGCACTCCCAGAGTTCCTCCTCTGTTCTGCCATTTGGGCTCCCAAAGTCCTGCCAATAGTAGGCCACACCTCCCTGCCCCAGGAAAGGCAGACTGTCCCTGGATTGAGGATGACTTTTGCCCTCTGGGCTGCTTCCAGGAGGGATATTGACCTAGGGAGACCCAGGCAGTCTCTCCTGTGCCTGAAATTCTGGGAGAAGAAACTCTCTTCAAGGCAGCCCACACATGGGCTGAGGGGTGAGGGGTGCCTGTTTTGTTCTCTCTGTTTTCTGAGACACTCTTAGAGATGTCCCCACCCTGGGGAAGGAGCCTGGGATAAGTCAGGATGGCATGGCCTCTCTCCCCTTGCAAGTAAGTACCCTCCCTTCTCTTCACCTCCTTGCATGGGTCCCCAGAGTCCAGCCTACCCGCGTCCCGTCATTCTTGCCCTTGCCCCAGATTTGTAGACGGGAGTTCTCTAATAGGAATATCTTGTGTTCACCAACTGCTCCCAACGTGTACGTGCGCACGTGCGCGCACACACACACACACACTGCCATCAGGGGTTTCAGACTTTTGAGATCCCCTCTTGCTGGAGCTAATGACCATTAGGGACCTCTCCTCTAAAAATTCACACTTGCCCCCCCCCCTTTGTGGACAGTTTCAGAGTTCCCCCTGGACTGAGAACCCTGAGGAAGTCCCCTCCCCATGGTTGGGTCTGCCACCTCTGTCCTCCTAGAGCTCCACATGGTCAGTCCAGTCCCTGTTCATGTGTCCCCATCCGGGGCGTAGTAGACCCTGCTGTAACATTCAGCTCTCTGTGCCCCCTGCAGGCTTGTGACAGCACTGTCATCCATGGAGGGTCACACAAGCTTGGCCAACATGTGTCCCTTCTGTCCTGTCCACATCCTGGGCAGGCTATGACCAGGCTCTCCCAACCCAAGGTCCTAACTTAGGGTGACAACCAGAATAGAGACCAACCAAGAAAACAGAGACCTGGCTAGATGTCTGTGGATGCAGGAGGACCTATAGACGCTGGCCAGGATGGACATGGAGGAAGAAACAGCCCATACCAGAGGTAGCTAAGCTCTACCAGGTGTCTGGGGAGAGCCAGGGAGACTTCACCAGCTTCCAAACTCAGGCATAGGCAGGAGCCCCACAGGTATACGGGGCAGGGAGCCCTCTAGCCATCTCTCCAAGTGTTCTGCTGTTGCCCCGAGTCTGCAAGGCCTGCCTGGGGGATGGCTACCTCCTCCTCACTCTCACTCCTCCTCTCTTCTCCTCCTCCCCCTCGTACTCGTTTTCCTCGGGGCTGGCTGAGGGCCGCCTTCCCCATCTGGAAGCCATTGCTCAACACTGCCTTGGGGCCTGAGGCCCCGAGCCAGCTCAGAGGACCAACATTTTCCAGAAACCATTTTATTCCTTGGGAGAAAGAGCATCATCTCTCCCCCATCCCCCTAACAGAGAAGGTCTTGGCCAGTAAGTGGGCCCACATGGGCCTCCCCAAGGTCTCCATTGTGCAGAGGTTCTGGGTGGGGCAGGCCCAACCTTGGCTATTTTCTTCCCCTCATTTTAAATGAAAATAAATAAATAAATACATAAATAAATGGAATCTGCTTCCTCAGGCCGCCGCTGCCAGCTCTGCTCTTTCAAGCCCAGCAAGCTCTTTCATTTCCTGTGTAAGAGGCCGTCTTGGGGAGAGGTGGGGACCGGGAGGGGCAGTGTTGGGAGGGCCCACTGGGCATCCGTTTCATTGGAAAAAATCTACTTCCTGCTCCCTACGCCCCTCCATATATGTTCATACGTGTTCACATACATACACAGACATGCCAGATGTAATACACAGATAGCCACACCTGCAAGGCAACAGAGACAGGCACAGATCAACAACAGGCAGACACGCAGGCACAGCAACACACACACAGGAAGACAGATATACACACTGGCACATGTACATACACGCACAGGCATACACAGACACACGTATACATGCAAACGCACACAGGCATATATGTGCACATACAGGCACATGCACACTGCCCACACAGGCATATACACACACACATGCAGGCATGCACAGACACACAGAGGTGTGCACACAGCTCAGTGGAGTGAGTTGGGAACTCCCAGAGTTACTCTGTATTCGTACTGGACTCACTATCCAGGCTGAGGCTGAGAAGTGCCCCATAGTCTTCCCCGGGGTGGGATGAGTGCCCTGGAGACCAGCCCTGTACAAGCATCCACCTGGAGGCTCCAAGGCCATTCCTACAAGCTTGACTTCACCCTGGCCCTGAGTCTAGCTGGGGACACAGAATCAAGACCCCAGGGCTTCCCTGTCTCCCTTGCACACAGATCAGGGTGCCAAGCTGGGCACGGGACGGAGGAGCTTGGGAAGGCCTGCTGGGAAACAGAGAAAGAAACCCTTTGGCCCAGTCGGCCATCTTCCTCCTCCTGCGTTTGCAGAGCCCAGTGCTATGGTGCCCCCTGGTGGCAGGGTCTTTTCAGACTGCCTGGCTGTGGGACCTGGCTGTGTTACCTTGTCTTTCATCCAGGTGTCCCCTGGTAGAGCCACACTCTCTAAGGGGAAATTCACCTCTCTGTCATTTCCCCACTGGAACCCCCACTTGCCCACAATAACAGACTGGACAGGCTGGGCCTTAGCACCCACCATCAGTGCTGTTCCTGCCCACACTCCTGTGACCCCGGAACAGGGAGCTGCTAGATGTTTGCCCCCCCTGGGCCTCTAGGGCTGGCTGGGGCTGGCAGCTCCAGGAGTGTCTCTGTCCCTATCCTTGGGGTCGTTTATACACCAACAGTCTCGCCAGACATTTGCTGAACTTCAAGGCTGGACTGAGAACCCTGCCAGGCCTGAAGACTCAGGAGGCTGCCCTTGGGGAACCCTTGGTGTGCTCCAGCCTCACAGACCACCCAGGGAAGCAAGCCCAGCACAATCTCCCAAGGGTCTCTGTCCACAAACCACTCACGGGGCAGGAGCAGGGGTCTCCAGGAGCAAAATTTCAAAGCCAGAAGGGGAGGCTCTTATGGCTGGGATGGAAGGACAGGTGAGAGCCCGGGGCATCAGGAAGGAGCTACCCCAGCTCAGGTAAGGAGAAAGGAGGAGTATGAGCCCAGCAGGAGCCGGAACGGTGGGGAGTGGAGAGCCTGGGCTGGGAGGTGAAATTTGGGGTGACCATCGAAGGCTGGTGGGGACCAAGGGGAGGGTTGGAAGAGGAGCAAAGGGGCAATGAGGGGCCATTTATATGGGGATGAGATTGAACCCCCCTGGGCTGGGGGACCTCAGGGCCAGGGGAGCCCCTCCAGTAGCTGGGAAGGAGGTTGTGGCGCTCAGGGCAGAACCCAGGCTGGATGGCTCAGTGGGGGCTTCCCTTACCTTGCCTGCTTTCCTCCTAACAGGAAGTGGAACTCACCAAACCCCATTCCAGAGCCTGCTGGGTAACAGAACCAGACCTTCCAGAACCTTTGAGAATGGCTCCCAGGCCTGCGAGGGCCCACTCTGCCTCTCAGAACTCCTGCAGGAGCTGCTGCGAGGTGTGTGGATGATGGGGTGGGGCGAGACAAGGAGGAGAGTCCTGGCTGGTGCAGGTGGATGGGGGCCATGGCTGGCTCCCAGCCCTCAGGCCTCTGCTTCTGCTGGGGACTTTGGGATAGGGTGTAAGGTGGAGTCCTTGGGTTCATAGCTCTCCCTTGATTCCCTTTTGGGGATGTCTGGGGAAAAGAACTCACCCCAGCCATGAGGCCCTGGGCCTCCCTCATTGTGGCTGCTGTGCTCAGGGCAGCCCCCAGGGTCAGGAGGCCAGTCAGGCCAATCCCCACGTAGAAGGCTGGGTAGAAAGAGAGAGGAGGTTAGGGTGCCCAGGGCAGGGCTGGGTTCACAGAGCCTGGATCTGTAACAAGTTCTGGGGTTGCAGAGAGGAGTGCCAGGCTTCTGTGAAGCTCTAACTGGGTCAGGCCCCCTCATTAGACAGGGTGTGCCTCCCACCAAGAACCACTGGGACTTTCCTCTGGGGCGCAGAAAGATCCCAGGGAAGGAGGGGAGGCGGGTACACATTTGGCCAGGGAAGGAGTGCTTCTCCCTCCTCTGCTTCTCTCCCTGCCCTCCACATCTCTGGGGCTATCTTTGGAGCTGTATCTGTCCCCCTAAGCTCTAGTGACATGCCACGTGGGGACTGTCATCTTATCAGTACAGGCCGTAACCCAGGCTTCCTGCTCCAGGGAGGCCCTGGCCCTGGGAGTTGGGGTAAAAAAGTGAGGCCTTCAGAGGCAGGAGGTTAGGGGCAAGGTCCTCCAGTCTGGCTCCATGGGCCTTGGTTTCCCTCTCGACCACCCACCAGGCTGCTGCCCTCCTGGGCCAGCATGTGCTCCTCTTGAGACCATGCTGCAGGTCCAGCTCCAAACTCCCCTGGTGCGTGACCTCCCTTGCTCTTACTCCTGAGCGGGCCACCCCTGCAGGCCCAGGTCCTGGTGTTCTCCCTCTCGGAGCAGCGTATATTCTACTGCTGAGACCCTGAAAGGCAGCTTCTGCCTAGAGCCTTGGCAGGACATCCCCAGGACTCAGCAGAACCGTTGGTGACATTAGGAGCCCTTTTCAAAAACCAGCCAAACCCAGTCCCAGTGGTGCCCAGGCCAGCCACAGGGAGCCCTGGCTTTCGCGATCCCTGAGTGTACAGAACCGGGACCTGGTACATCTGACACACACACACTGTCCACACTCCCATGGATCAGGAGACCCAGGGCAGGAGCCCTGAGCTGCCAGCCTTTGCCCAGTGGAGTCAGAACTCCAGGGTGGCCTTCTCTGCCCCTGACACCATCTGCCCCCATCCCTGTTCCTGCTCAAAACCTGGCCCTGCTCTAACTGCCTAGGACCAGGCAGCTCAGGATCTCAAGTTCCCCCCAGGGTTCCTTCCCAGGGACCTTAGCTCCTAAAGCCCTCCCCTCACAGCCCACCCCAGCCGTCACTTACCCCAGTGGTGCATGGCTTTGTACGGGTTCTTCTCAGAGGACACGCAGCTGATGACAGTAAAGTGGGGCCCACAGTAGGAGAAGATGGCTGTGGTGGCCACAGAGAGGCTCAGCAGCTGAGGGTATGGAGCAGGGTTGGACACAGCCGCACTGATAGATGGGGAGACTAAGGACAGGATATGGGGCCAGTGGGACCCCAGCTGGGTTCCCTCCAGCTTCCTGGTCTTGTGTGACACAAACCCAGCTGTAGGAGTTTCTGGATGTTTTTGGGGTGTGGTCTGAGGAGATCTTTGCTTCAGACATCCCACCATGCACGCACACACACACACACACACACGTGTGCATACATATACATACACATGTGCATGCACACACATGACAAGCTCACACTCATTCATTGCCCAGCTTTCTCAAGGACCTGGAACCTCAGATCATTTCATCTACAGAGTGGGGAGAGGGCTCCCCTCCAGCCTGTTAGCAGCCAACCCCCTTGAGGGCAGGAAGAGACAGATAGCCCCAGAGCTCAGGCAGCCAGCGCCACTTCCCTGGAAGCACCCACCACCCCCATTCATAGTCACTCACGCCCCTGGCTCGAGCCAGGCCTCCTCTAGGCCCCACACTGGTCCTCTGGAGAACAGACACAGCCCACAGGGGCATGCCCCATGGTGTTCACTGCTAAGACCCCAAGCACAAGCCTGTAGGACAGGATGGGCACAGGAGGACTGGCATGTGAGTGATAGAGGGGTGACCTGGTGCTGGGAGCTTGGTGATGGCCCTGTCACCCTTCACCCCTACCCACCACCCACTTCCTGCCCGACCTGCCTGTTACCAAGACAAAGAAGCCGGTGACCAGCATCTGGCATTTGGCAACCTTGACTCGATTCCAAGGCCTCATGGTGGTCTCCCCTCTGCTCTCCTCTCCTGCCACTGTGGTTTCCTGCCTGCCTAGGAGACAGGCTGCATCCGCCCATCTGCTTGTTGATATGCCCCTGGAGCTGAGCCACTGGGTGCCCCGGAAGGAGGGCAGGCAGGAAGGGGAGGTACAGTGAGGCCCGCCCCGCCCCCTCTTGCTGCCCCAGCCCTAGCCCAAGACACCAGGACTCTTGCTGATACCAGAAGCCTCTTAGGGAGGGTGTGGCTTTGTACTTGGGGTGACCACAGAGGACAGAACTGGGAGGAGAGGGCGTGAGGAGGAAAGGGTGCCTGAGGACAGATGGGGTGAGCTCCCTGTTGTGGGAGTGCACAAGTGAGGCCTGGCCCCTGGGAAATCATGCCAGGGGACAAAATCCTTAGAGGACTGTAGGATTCAGGGACTCATCTAGACATTGTTATCATGGTGTCCTTATGAAGCACCATTTGAACATTCTGGGACAACTAAATTTCTGAAAGGTAATTTGATTTTCAATGCCTCTGCAATAGCACAAGTAATTGGAGCAGAGCAGCCTTGGAGCAACCCAGGAGGGTCGGGGCCTCATTCATACTCACATGGGGCCTCTGGGGAGGTTTGTTAAAACTTAATTTGTGAAACCAGCAGATGGCATAATGGTTATGTCACTGGGCTCTCACATGGTCGATGGCAGTTTAAGTCCTGGACCCGGCAGCTCGAAACTCACACTGGGCACATGTGTGTGCACACTCAAATGTCCCTGGGGAGAATGGAGGAGAAGGGACTGCAGCATGGCCATCCCCACTGGGGGGGGGGGGGTGGGGGTGGGGGTGTTTCTCACTCTCTGTCTCTCTGACTCTCTCTGTCTCTTTGATGAGTACACACTCCCTATAGCAAAAAACTCTCTAAGGGACCAGCAGATGGTATAATGGTTACATTGCTGGACTCCCACGTAGTCCACAGCAGTTTGAGTCCTGGACCCAGTGGCTTAAAACTCATGCAGGCATGTGTGCGTGCGAGCCAAGATCCCGAGAGCAGAATGGAGAAGGGATTGCGGTATGGCCTTCCTCCCTGGGGGGTGATTTCTTGCTTTCTGTCTCTCTTTATCTCTTAGAAGAGCGCATATTCCTATAGTAAAACTCTCTCTTTAAAAAAAAATCATGATTTTATAACTACAGGTGGCCTCACAGGGTCATCTCAAGGTGGCATTGAACCCTTCAACAGGTGGGCAGAAGCCTCAGGGCAGCTTTTCCGAAGATGGGGTCTGACCACAGTCCTCTTCCCCCGTGCCCCTCTGCCTAGGGCAAGGAGCATATTTGGGGTGCCATCCACATGTGCTCTGGTGATGCCCACTCTCTTTACTGAGCCACGCCCTCCTCCTCTGCACCCCTAACCCTCTCAGGAGGAAGTGGCATGTCGAGGGGAATCTGCTGCTCCTGCCCACTACCCACTCTCGGCCACATCTGCCCACCTTCTCTGGGCATCCTGGGGCAGTTGCTCACTTGCTCTAGAGAGCAGTGCTGGCCCCAGGAGCCAGGTAGGATCCTAAAGTGGCAGGTATAGCCCCCAAGAGGCTGGTCTAGGGGCAGATCACCCCATGCCCTACCCCTACCACGGACCCAGCCCTGAGGGTTCGGCCCCACTGCAAGCCAGTGTAGGCTGTTCCTGTCTTTATTTCCAAGGAAGATGTCAGACTCGGACACCAGCATATATATGTTTGTAGTTTGGTATTTGCCATTCAGGGACTTCCTTTCTCCTCTCTCTTTCTCTCCTTTATCTAATAACTAATCGATGAATTAAAAACAGTTTTGTTGGGGCCAGCAGGTAGCATGATGGTTAAGGCGTTAGACTCCCACATTGCCAACCATAGTTTGAGTCCCAGACCTGGCAGCTTACTTTCTCACTTTCTCTCTTTCTCTCTCTCTCTGGTGAGCACATGAGCCCTATAACAAATTAAAATAATAATCTTAATAATAAATAAATAAACTTAAATACATGTCTTTTAAAAAATAGCACTTTCGTTGGGTCAACTAGGTTGTATGATGGCTAACCCAGCTGGATCCCACATGACCAACTGTGCAGTTCAAGTCCTGGATCCAGTGGTTTGAAAAACATGCAAACCATGTGTGCATGCTTGCCCAAAATCTCAAAAAGAGAATGAAGAAGGCAGGATTGCAGCTTGATCATACCCTCTGGCAGCTGCTTCCCACTTTCTCTGTCTCTCTTTCTCACTGTCTCTCTCTGGCAAGTGTGTGAACCCTACAGCAAATTAAAAAAAAAAAAAGTTTTGTCATAATATCCAACTGAAAGAGCTCCCATGACCAAAATGGAAAAATGTAAACAAAAAGTAAATAACACCATATTGGATTATAATGCAACAGAGTAAATATCAGTGAATCTATACTTACACAGAAAAAAAATACTGAGCATATAAATCAGTGAGGGAGAAAGACGAGTCTCCTATGCAGAAGAATTCCAGATGGTTCATGAAACTACTCCACCCTCAGGGAAGCATGGCGTGTGACTCCCCACCGCTAAGTGTGGGCTGCACCTAGGGACTTCCTTCCAGGGAGCATGGGACCGAGAAGGAGAGAAACCTTACAGTGGAGAAGCCTCAGCCCCAACATGAAGGCCAGCGCCCACAGCAGTAAGTCCCTGGCAATATGTGCCCTTGATAGGAGGTGATGAGGAGGGCACTTGGTATCTGGCATCTTACTCCCCAAATCCCACAGCCCCACTCTAAGAGGAAAGCACCAGACAGATCCTAGTAAAGGAGCACCCTACGAAGTCCCCTGAGCAGACTCCTCACATCTATCCAGGCCATCAAAAAGCAGGGGAATCTGAGAAACAGTCAGAGCCAATAGGAGCCTGAGGAGAAGGACAAATGTCATGCAGGATCCTGAATGGGGTGCAGGGACAGGAAAAGGATGTAAGAGCAAGTGGAGAAAATCTGAATCCAAGGCAGACCCGGATGTATCGGCATTGGTTCACCGGGTAGGATCCTAAAGTGGCAGGTATAGCCCCCAAGAGGCTGGTCTAGGGGCAGATCACCCCATGCCCTACCCCTACCACGGACCCAGCCCTGAGGGTTCGGCCCCACTGCAAGCCAGTGTAGGCTGTTCCTGTCTTTATTTCCAAGGAAGATGTCAGACTCGGACACCAGCATATATATGTTTGTAGTTTGGTATTTGCCATTCAGGGACTTCCTTTCTCCTCTCTCTTTCTCTCCTTTATCTAATAACTAATCGATGAATTAAAAACAGTTTTGTTGGGGCCAGCAGGTAGCATGATGGTTAAGGCGTTAGACTCCCACATTGCCAACCATAGTTTGAGTCCCAGACCTGGCAGCTTACTTTCTCACTTTCTCTCTTTCTCTCTCTCTCTGGTGAGCACATGAGCCCTATAACAAATTAAAATAATAATCTTAATAATAAATAAATAAACTTAAATACATGTCTTTTAAAAAATAGCACTTTCGTTGGGTCAACTAGGTTGTATGATGGCTAACCCAGCTGGATCCCACATGACCAACTGTGCAGTTCAAGTCCTGGATCCAGTGGTTTGAAAAACATGCAAACCATGTGTGCATGCTTGCCCAAAATCTCAAAAAGAGAATGAAGAAGGCAGGATTGCAGCTTGATCATACCCTCTGGCAGCTGCTTCCCACTTTCTCTGTCTCTCTTTCTCACTGTCTCTCTCTGGCAAGTGTGTGAACCCTACAGCAAATTAAAAAAAAAAAAAGTTTTGTCATAATATCCAACTGAAAGAGCTCCCATGACCAAAATGGAAAAATGTAAACAAAAAGTAAATAACACCATATTGGATTATAATGCAACAGAGTAAATATCAGTGAATCTATACTTACACAGAAAAAAAATACTGAGCATATAAATCAGTGAGGGAGAAAGACGAGTCTCCTATGCAGAAGAATTCCAGATGGTTCATGAAACTACTCCACCCTCAGGGAAGCATGGCGTGTGACTCCCCACCGCTAAGTGTGGGCTGCACCTAGGGACTTCCTTCCAGGGAGCATGGGACCGAGAAGGAGAGAAACCTTACAGTGGAGAAGCCTCAGCCCCAACATGAAGGCCAGCGCCCACAGCAGTAAGTCCCTGGCAATATGTGCCCTTGATAGGAGGTGATGAGGAGGGCACTTGGTATCTGGCATCTTACTCCCCAAATCCCACAGCCCCACTCTAAGAGGAAAGCACCAGACAGATCCTAGTAAAGGAGCACCCTACGAAGTCCCCTGAGCAGACTCCTCACATCTATCCAGGCCATCAAAAAGCAGGGGAATCTGAGAAACAGTCAGAGCCAATAGGAGCCTGAGGAGAAGGACAAATGTCATGCAGGATCCTGAATGGGGTGCAGGGACAGGAAAAGGATGTAAGAGCAAGTGGAGAAAATCTGAATCCAAGGCAGACCCGGATGTATCGGCATTGGTTCATTCATTCTAATGACGCGCATACCAATGGAAGATGCTGATATTGTGGAATGTGCGTTTAGTCCCCGTCTTCTGACACTTAGCTCCTAAAACCCTTGGAATCTCCAGAGTGCTAAGAGTGTCTTGTGCGCTACTGAGGTGACCAATGACTGGGGGGGCCTCTAGATGGCCTCAGGGTAGGTGCTGGTCAGAAAGGCCAAGGCAAGATGGAAGGGGTGAAATTTTTAGCCCTACTCCTCAATCTCTAGGGCAAGGAGAAGGGCTAAAGGTTGAGCTGGCCACCAATGGCCAATAAATTCATGAGCTGTGCCTATGTCATGAGGTCTCCACTGAAACCCCACAGGCCTAGGCTTGGGGAGCTTCCTGGGTGGTGGTGCCCTGAGATGGCAAAGAAGCTCCTGCCCCATTCTGGACGGCTTGCCCTGTGCCTCTCTTGTTCCTCTATATCCTTGGTAGTATCTTTTATTATAAATAGATAGACATGTGCTTCCCTGAGTTCTGTGAGCCTTTTAAATAAAGTCATTGAACCTGAGGAGGGGTTTGTGGGAACCCAATTTAGAACCAGTTGGTCAGAAATGTAGGTCACTGGAAACCAGCAGTTAGCGTAATGGCTATGTCACTGGATTCCCACGTAGTCGCCTGTGGTTCGCGTCCCGGACCTGGTGGCTTAAATCTCACGCCAGGCGCTTGTGCATGCGTGCCCAAGA